GCACTCCCTGGAATCACCACTCTGAGCATTGGGGTGGTGGTCCAGGTCTTTTTTTGCACACAGACAGTCATATTTACGTGTATGTCTGATCCACCACGGCCTCATGAAAAACTAGGGAGTGGATAGAGAGTCCCTGAGAACGAGGCCCCAGCCTTTCCAGTCTCCAGCAGTGTCTCTTCCCGCCAGGCCTCCCCCAAAACCTGTTCTCGAGTGACCCCATCCCACTCTGTCCACAGGGCCGCGGGGGGCTGGGCTCCATCTTTGTCTGGGCCTCGGGAAACGGGGGCCGGGATCATGACAGCTGCAACTGTGATGGCTACACCAATAGCATCTACACACTGTCCATCAGCAGCGCCACACAGTTCGGCAACGTGCCCTGGTACAGCGAGGCCTGCTCGTCCACGCTGGCCACGACCTACAGCAGCGGCAACCAGAATGAGAAGCAGATCGTGAGTCTTGCTCTGAGTTGGGGCCAGGGCGGAGGCCAGGGCAGGGGCCAGGGCGGGGGCTGGGGAAATGGGGCTGCTTGCCGGCTCCATCCAAACCCATCTGCCTCCCACCCGCATGTGGCTGGGTGATAGGGGCTTTGGCATCATGGAGTGGGAACTGGGGAGCTCTCTGAGATTCTTGGGGTTCACAGAGCCATCTGTGAAGCCCCTGAGAAGTATAGACTCTCTCTAAAAACAGTTATTGCTCTAAATGATCTTTAACTTCTAGTTCAGTCTCCTTGTTCCTTGGGAAACTGAAGCTCAAAAAGAGCCAAACACTGTCCAGTCCACGGCAGGGCAGCAGCTGGGACCCAGGTGTCCTGACCATGGCTCACCACACCATCTGTGGTTCTTAGGGTCTATAGGTAGAGGGAGGACAGGCAGGTCGCCTCTCTGGTCCCCTCCACTCACCACAGACCCAACACCATTGTTCTCCGGGCAGGTGACCACTGATTTGCGGCAGAAGTGTACGGAGTCACACACCGGCACCTCGGCCTCTGCCCCGCTGGCAGCTGGCATCATTGCTCTCACCCTGGAGGCCAAGTAAGTATCAGGGGCTGAGGGGCAACCCTGTCCCTACTTGCGCCCTCTGCAGGGCAGCCCTTGGTCTCCAGCTTATCTCCAAAGAGACTAAACCCAGCCTCTTCCTCTCTTCTTTGCAGTAAGAACCTCACCTGGCGGGACATGCAGCACCTGGTGGTACAGACCTCAAAGCCAGCACACCTCAATGCTAACGATTGGGCCACTAATGGTGTGGGCCGGAAAGGTGAGGACAGAGTGGCCCGGTGGCCTGGTTTGGGGATTGGTGGGGGGCGCGCTCTATGCCTCCCAGCTGACCCTGCCTTCCCTACTCCACAGTGAGCCATTCATATGGCTATGGGTTGTTGGACGCAGGTGCCATGGTGGCTCTGGCCCAGAACTGGACGACGGTGGCCCCCCAGCGGAAGTGCCTCATCGACATCCTCACTGAGCCCAAGTGAGGGTTGAACCCTGGCTGAGAGGGGGTGGGTGGGACCTGAGGGTTGCAGGAGGTGCTCATGGTTCCCTCTGAGCCAGGCTGATTGACCATCACTGTGCTCTCTGCACAGGGACATAGGGAAGCGGCTGGAGGTGCGGAAGACCGTGACCGCCTGCCTGGGGGAGCCCAGCCACATCACACGGCTGGAACACGCCCAGGCCCGCCTCACCTTGTCCTACAATCGCCGTGGTGACCTGGCCATCCACCTGGTTAGCCCCATGGGCACCCGCTCCACCTTGCTGGCTGCCAGGTGCTTGCCCTGTCCCCTGCCCAGGCTGTTTTCTCCCTTACGCCCACATGCATTCATTCATTCACTCATACAGCTGTGATGGTCACCACATACTCTCAGTGAGGAGTCGTGGAAGGGATTGTTTGCCTGTTTGCCCTATGGGACTGTCCCGTTTTGCAGGAATCCCTGATTTCACCCATCAAATGCCACATCTGTGTGCCTTCCTGTGTGCAGTGCCCTCGCACATATCCAGAATCTTCTGGTTGAGAACGACTGGCCTACTGGCATTCAGAGCCGAGAGGCATTTCCAGCCCAGTGGTGGGGTGGGTGCTGCACTGGGGGGAGGGTATGTGGTCCACGTGTGGTGGGCTCGGTATTCCCTGGATGGCGGCCCCCAGAGGCCTCAGACAGCTGTATGCACCCTGCTCCCAGGCCACACGACTACTCTGCGGATGGGTTTAATGACTGGGCTTTCATGACGACCCATTCCTGGGACGAGGACCCCTCTGGTGAATGGGTCCTGGAGATTGAAAACACCAGTGAGGCCAACAACTATGGTATGCAGGGCGCCCGAGAGCTGGGGCGGTGTGGATGCCGGGTCCCAGCTCCCGCTCACTCTGGCCTCCTTCCCCTCCTGGAATAGGGACGCTGACCAAATTCACCCTCGTGCTATATGGCACAGCCCCTGAGGGGCTGCCCACACCTCCTGAGAGCAGCGGCTGCAAGACCCTCACATCCAGCCAGGCCTGTGTGGGTCAGTAGTGGGTGCTGCTGGGGGTTGGGGCCTGAGGCTGGGGGACAGAGGGTGCCTATCTTGAAGCCCAGCTCTAGGAGGAAAAAGGGTCTGAAGGGACACTGGAGCCCTTGGGATGACATAGTTTGGGGTGGAAGCTCCTGGAAACTACAGTGCCTGCTTGGGCTGCCCTGGTCCTGGGGCCACGTGGCCACATGGCCGTGGGCAGCTAAGCCGACACCCGCCTCCTCTCGTGCCGGCAGTGTGTGAGGAAGGCTTCTCCCTGCACCAGAAGAGCTGTGTCCAGCATTGCCCTCCAGGCTTTGCTGCCCAAGTCCTTGCTACACACTACAACACTGAGAACGACGTGGAGACCATCCGCGCCAGCGTGTGTACCCGCTGCCACACCTCGTGTGCCACATGCCGGGGGCCGGCCCCCACAGACTGCCTCAGTTGCCCCAGCCATGCCTCCCTGGACCCTGTGGAGCAGAAGTGTTCCCGGCAAACCCAGAGCAGCCGAGAGTCACCGCAGCAGCAGCCCCCGCCTCCCCGGCCACCCCCAGAGGTGGAGGCAGAGCCGCGGCTGCGGGCAGGGCTGCTGCCTTCACACCTACCTGAGGTGGTGGCCGGCCTCAGCTGCGCCTTCATCGTCCTGGTCTTCGTCATTGTCTTCCTGGTCCTACAGCTGCGTTCAGGCTTCAGCTTCCGGGGGGTGAAAGTGTACACCATGGACCGCGGCCTCATCTCCTACAAGGGGCTGCCCCCTGAGGCCTGGCAGGAGTGCCCATCTGACTCAGAGGAGGACGAGGGCCGGCGTGAGAGGACTGCCTTTATCAGAGACCAGAGCGTCCTCTGACGAGCGCCTGCCACCGCCCCCTTCGAGCCCATCCCCTCCTTGGGCACTTTTTAATTCACCAAAGTATTTTTTTATCTTGGGACTGGGTTTGGACCCCAGTTGGGAGGCAAGAGGGGCAGAGACAGCTTCCCATCCTACCCTTGGGCCTCCTGGCTGCCTGTTGAGCGAGGGTCCCAGGACCAGATGGGGGACCGGAGGGCCACACCCCATTCCCAGCACCCCCTCTATGTGGAGAAAGGAGTGAAACCTTCAGGGCAGCTTTCCAAGGTTGTCAGGCCCCAGCCAGAGTTCTTGCGGAGCGGAGAGGGGCAGCCCTTCTTTCGGGATTCCTGGCCCAGCTGCACTCTGGCCCCTTCCCTGTCCCTTTAAAGCAATAATGGTCCCCATCCAGGCAGCAGGGAGGCTGGCCTAGGGAATATACGAAGGAGGAGGCCACCTCTCCAAGGGCTTGTGCGTACCTGACCCCGTCCCCCACCTCTGGTGAGCCTCAGGCAGAAGCGGCGATGGAAGGAAGGGACCAAGGCAAGGCAGGTGCTTCAAGGGCGTGCGTGTGTGCACGTGTGTGTTTGTCCCTCTGCTCACCGCAGCTGGCTTCCCGCGGAGTGAGGCTGGCCTGGGTGAGCCCCGTGCTGGCGTCCTAACCACCCTCCCCTTCAGCCAGGGCCCAAGTCCCTGTTTTCTGAGCCCGGGGCTGCCTGGGCTGTTGGCACTCACAGTCCCGGAGCCCCTGGGTGGGTGGTGGGGAGGGACGGTGGCCCAGCCGGCCTCTCCCACCTCCCACCCGATGCTGCTTTCCCCTGTGGGGATCTCAGGGGCTGTTTGAGGATATATTTTCACTTTGTGATTATTTCACTTTAGATGCTGATTTTTTTTTTTTTTTTTTTTTTGTATTTTTAATGGGGGTAGCAGCTGGACCGCCCACCTTCACATACCCACTGTTCACTCTCCTGTTCCCCCAGCTGCCCTGGCCCTGAGGTGTGGGAGGCTGCAGCATATTGTTGGGGAGTGAGGAGTAGCTGAACCCCAAGTTCTGAAGAGGCTGGCCAGGCAGGCCCTAAGAAAGGGGGATCGTGGTGGGAAGGGCGGGTAGTTGTCCATGTTTCTGATGGGGCTCGTCGTGCCAAGGGCTTATGGGTCACTGGTTCTCCAAGTGCCAGGGGTGGGCAGGCGGTGGCACCATGCCCCCTCCAACACTGTGCCCTGGTGGAAAAGCACTGCCCCCCAAGTTCCCCTCTTCTGACGTGCCTTTTGCACCCCTCCCATTAGGACAATCAACCCCCTTCTGTTTGGGAGCCCCTTTTTCTTCCTCTGTACTAGCCCCTCCTGGCACCCAGCCACCTGCCCAGGGGTGCCCCCATCTCACCACCCCCCTCCTTGTGGCCAGCCCGGCTGGTTTTGTAAGATACTGGGTTGGTGCACAGTGATTTTTTTTTTTTTTCTTGTAATTTAAACAAGCCCAGCATTGTTGGTTCTATTTAATGGACACGAGATGATGTTAGAGGTTTTAAAGTGATTAAACGTGCAGACTATGCAAACCAGACCTGGTCTCCAGTATGGTGATACTGTTCTTCCCAGGAGTCCGGGACTAAATCCCGGGATGGGGGGGATGGGGAGCTAGGATTAGATGCCCACTGTGATGTCCTGCTTGCCTCAAAATGAGCCCAACTCAGGATTTTGGAGTCTGTCTGCTGAGGGGTTCCAGGCCTCCTTCAGGGAGCTGTGGGGTATCGGAGGAGACAGCAGCTGGAGACAAGCACTAGGGGTTGGGACAAGCTGAGCACGTCCACCCCTACAGGACTAGTCTCCAGCAGAGTGGAGAGTAACAGCCTGTGTCCCTATTGCTCAAGGTCTCCCTTGGAGGCCTACAGTGGGGCCAGAAAGGCCAGGGTGTTCTTACTGGGGAGACTGTGAGTCTCAGCTGTGTAAAGGCCTTACCTCTCTACTCCCCAACCCACCCCTCAGGTTTCCTTTGGGAAAGGAAGCCCCTGCCTGGGGTAGGGGAGTGGTGACTGGTCCACCAGGACCTGTGTCTGAGAAGCAGGCCTCTTCCAGGTAGATTTACTTGGAAATTTCATTCAAATGGATATTGGTGCCTTAGCTCTTCTTGGGGAACCCATGGGGTGGAGAGGACCCGGACTAGGCTCTCCCTTACTCTTCTGGGCCTACCTGGCTGCTGCTGGGACTGCCCACCTGCCTCAGGACCTCCAGGCTGGGAGGCCCATCACACCCGCGTGCAGCGTCACCCTGTGTCGGCTCCCACCGCTGCACCCTGGGGCCACTTCCCCCTTGTCCTTGTCCAAGGCCCTGGGGAGTGCTGCCCTTCTTGAGGCCATTCTTCCCCGGCCCCTCCTCCCTTCCGTTTCCGTGGCCCTGGCTGGCGGGCTAGACAGGGGGGGCCCGGCAGGCATCGGAGGCTCCTGCCCGCCCCTTCCCCTCTGTGGCCCGCCCCAGGGCCTGGGCCAACTGAAACCTCAGGAGGAGGAAGCATCGAATCAGGAACTGGCCTGTTGGCAGGGTTGGCTGGGCCTGAGTCGGTCTTCGGTGGCCCCCGGAGCAGCTGCCTGAGCGGTAACTCTCCTGAGGCCCAGGAGGTGGTGGGCGGTGGGCAGGGAGCAGGGGCAGCGGGCTGGATCCAGGCAGACAGGCATCACACCCGGTGGGGCAGGGGTGGCCCCAGGAGCAGGGCACAGGCTGTCGCTGGCTGGGGCAGGCTCGGCCCTGCCAAAGTCCCTGGGCGCACACACCCCTGCAGTGGGTGCTGGGTGGAAGGGCCCAGAGAGGGAGGCTCTGGGTGGTTCCTGTTCCATGACTGAGAAGGGGTCCCCTGGCGCCAGGCCTTGGCCTGGGACACAGGAAGCAGTGAGAGCCAGTCCCAGGCCAGGCCGGCGTTTTGTACCTGTGGCTGCATTTGGGCAGGACGGGCCCCCACCTCCTGCCTATCTGCAGCTCCTATTGGCCTGCCAGCCCCCAGTCTCCCTGTCCTACTTCTCCATCTCCAGCGGTGGCCTCTCTCCTGTGTCCCCAGGACAGCACTATGGGCTTCTCTTCAGAGCTGTGCAGCCCCAAGGGCCATGGGGCACTTCAGCAAATGCAGGAGGCCGAGCTCCGGCTGCTGGAGGGCATGAGGAAGTGGATGGCCCAGCGGGTCAAGAGTGACCGGGAGTATGCCGGGCTGCTGCACCACATGTCCCTACAAGACAGTGGGGGCCAGAGCCGGGGCGGCCCCGACAGCCCCATCGGCCAGGTGGGGTTCCATGGCCTCTTTACCCCTTCCCAGCCCTCTCCCCAGGAATTCCTGTGGTCCCTGGGATATCAGCCTGCCCCTTCCTTTCCCGAAGTTCCCTGGGTGGGCTTGGGAGCCACCGTCCTCCACGCGCCGTCTCATCCTTCGTGTGCTGCAGTCCTGGGCAGAGATCACCAGTCAGACGGAGGGCCTGAGCCGACTGCTGAGGCAGCACGCGGAAGACCTGAACTCGGGGCCCCTGAACAAGCTGAGCCTGCTGATCCGGGAGCGGCAGCAGCTGCGCAGGACCTACAGTGAGCAGTGGCAGCAGCTGCAGCAGGATCTCACCAAGGTGGGTGGGGAGCCTGGTCATTTCTACCTGCATTTCGAGCCTCAGAGGGCTGGTTTTGCACAAGAGCCCCTCAATTCACAGGGAAGTGAAAGCGCTGACCACAAGGCCTGCTCCCAGGGCCTGCTCCAGCTCCACCACAGCTTCCTTCCCATCTCTCCCCACGAGGGCTGACCTGCAGCAGGGCTTCTCCGTGAATTTTCTGTCACCCTACTGTGTGCCTGGACACAGTGCTTGGAGTACAAGGATGAGTAGTCCAGCCATTGCCTGCGGGGAGCAGGATCTGTGACTTGCCTCCCGCACTGCACCAGCTGGCCCTGGGGCTGAGAGGCAGTTGGAGAGAGATGACGCTGGTCTGTCTGCCCTTGGCCTAGGTGGGCTCCTCCCAGGGTCTCAGAGACTCCACACAGCAGCAACATGGCCCCAACAGAGAGGTTAAAGACCGGGCCTTTGAAGCCATCCTGCCTGCATTTAATCTTGCCCAGCTCCTTGGTCTAGAAGCTGGGTGATTAGCGCTATTTACGTGTGTGCTTCGGCCTTCTAATTCAATGTGCTGGTTGGCCCCCTGTACCATCCTGCTTCCACCACTGCAAAACCCTGCCTTGCCGTGGACCAACAGCGGCCCCTGGTGGCCAGTCTCGATCCACTCCCTCTCCCAAGAAGCTTATCTGAAAACAGGGTGGGCCTGTTTTTATAGGTACTCTTACTGGGACACAGCTGTGCCCATTTGGCTACTAGAGAGCTGCAATGGTAGAGCTGAGTAATTGCAACAGAAACTGTTTGGCCAGTAAGCCTAAAATGTTTACCAACTGGCCCATGAAAAAGGCTCATTTAGTCTATTGATTTAGCTCAGTTACAGTTAGGGAAACTGAGGGTCAGAGGAGAGGGATGGAACTGAGCTAAAGTATCCCAATGCACAGACAGGGGAACTGGGATGAGCACTCTAGTCGTGACCATTTATTGTTCCTGCAATCAGGAACATTATTTGCAGGAATCAGTGCAGAATGGAAATGTGCGGCCTTTGTCAAAGCATTATTGAGAATTTCAAGATGGCATCAGCAGAGCATAACACCAAGCACAGACTCCTTCTGAGTGTGGAGCTCGGTGCCACATGCCTTCAGCTGGGCCCTGCCTGCCATCAAATACCACCCCAGGCCAAAGAAGGGCAGTTCTAGCCTTCCCAGTCCACTCTGCTTCCCCCAGGGGCTCAGCCTCAACCCAGCTCCTCTGACCCTAACCTCCGCAGCAGAGGCCAGGCCCCGGAGGTCTCCAGGCCCTTTCTGCAGGACGGACTCGGGTATGCTGCCTGCTTGCCCTGTAAGACCTGTCCAGTGTTTTACCTCAGGCAGGAATCCCCCATGCCCTAGGGACCTGCCAACCCACACAGTCTCTTCTCTCTCCTCAGACCCACAGCCAGGACATTGAGAAGCTGAAGAGCCAGTACCGAGCCTTGGCACGGGACAGCGCCCAGGCCAGGCGCAAGTACCAGGAGGCCAGCAAAGGTGTGTGGCTTCGCTCACCGGCAGGGAGGGAGTCCCGAGACAGCCTTGACCTGTCCACAGGTGTCCAGGGAGTGGGGAGTGCCCAGACCTCTGTGCTGTCACCCACATCCCCTCTCACCCGGCAGACAAGGATCGTGACAGGGCCAAGGACAAGTATGTGCGCAGCCTGTGGAAGCTCTTCGCTCACCATAACCGCTATGTGCTTGGTGTGCGGGCTGCGCAGCTGCACCACCAGCACCACCACCAGCTCATGCTGCCTGGCCTGCTCCAGTCACTACAGGACCTGCACCAAGAGATGGCATGCATCCTGTGAGCCCACATCCCACCGTCACCCCCTTACCCTCCTACCATGCCCCAGAGACAAGGTCCAGAAAAGTTGAGTCTTGTGAAAATAGGTGGTCATGGAATCACGTGAGACCGGGTCCCGGGGCCAAGGATTGGAGCCACTCGATTTGTATCTGAATGACGTTATTTCAGGGCCTCTTATTGCAGGGTCTTATTGTATTTATCGAGCACCCATTCTAGGCTCTGGCAAACAGCAAGAAAAAACGAAAAATACCTGCCTTCTAAGATCAATGGTATTAGAAAAGAGAGAAAAGAAAGTCAATAAGTACAACAGAAAGCAAGTTAGAAGTGGCAAGTGCTACGGAGAAAAATAAAACAAGAAAGGGGGATTGGGAGGCAGTCATAAATAGAGTGGTCCGAGAAAGCCTCAGAGGTGCAGGAGCAAACCAGGGTATGTCGAGAGAAAGATCGTTTCGGAAAGGGGGAGCCGCAGGCCATCGTGAGGACTTTGGCTGTGTCGAGAACAGAATTCAGGGGGCAAGGACGAGGTAGGGAAACTAGACAGGAGGCTTCTGCAGTAATGCAGATCACAGCTCATGGCCGCTCGGACCCAGCGGAGGAGAGAAGTGGTCAGGTTCTGGGTATATTTTGAGGGTGGAGCCAAAATATTTCCCTATGGACCGGAAGTGGGGTGTGAGATAGACGAGTCAAGGATGATGCCGAGGAGTTGGTCCAAAGCACCTGGAAGATTCAATGGCCATTACCTATGGGAAAAATGGGTTCAGGAGACAAGGAAAAGGAGTTCATTTTCAACTAGTGGAGTTTGATCTCTGACAGGATGTTCTGAGAAAGTGAATTGTTACTTGAGACTGAAGCTCTGGAGAGGTGCTGGGACCGGAGACCTAAGTGTGGGGTCACAGCACATCAATGGCTTATGCATATTGGAGCCCCAGAGCCCGGCTGTTGGGCTGGCAGCCCAGGGCAGGCATGATTGTAGCTCACAGTTAAACCGTGCTTCGTGTGTACCACATACTCTGCACACAGATCTCACTATGACTCCCAGCACCCCCTTTACACATAACAGGAAGTAAAGGTCAGAAGACATGCAGTGATTTGCCTGTGAGCATTGGGCTGGTGGTAAATGATGAGGTGGGGGCTCAATCCCAGGACCGACTCCAAACTCAGTGTCAGGTCCCCTGAGCTTCTCAGCCTTGCCTAGCCTGAGGCCTCACTGACCAGCGGTCCTGTTTCTGGGCAGGAAAGAGATCCTGCAAGAATACCTGGAGATTAGCAGCCTGGTGCAGGACGAAATGGTGGCCATTCACCGGGAGATGGCTGCGGCCGCTGCCCGCATCCAGCCGGAGGCCGAGTACCATGGCTTCTTGCGACAGTATGGGTAAGCCCCTCCTTGCTCCTGCTGGGCACCCAGGCTGTTGGCTTGCTCACTGATGCGGTAATGCCCCCCGCAGGTCCACACCTGAGGTCCCACCCTGTGTCACCTTTGACGAGTCACTGCTCGAGGAGGGTGAACCCCTGGAACCTGGGGAGCTGCAGTTGAACGAGCTGACCGTGGAGAGCGTGCAGCACACGTGGGTGCCGCGGTGCGGGGCCTGGGGTGGACACTGTCCACATAGAGCTTGGGCTTGTCTCAGCTCTGCAGGGCTGCTTCTGAGGGGCTGGCTCTAACACTGCCCTTCCTTGGGGACACAGGCTGACCTCAGTGACAGATGAACTGGCGGCGGCCACCAAGACAGTGTTCAGCCGGCAGGAGGTAGTCAGTCAGCTGCAGCGTGAGCTGCGGAATGAGGAGCAGAACATCCACCCCCGGCAGCGGTGAGTGGGTCCCAGCTACAGCAGCCTCCCGCCCGCCTGCCCACCCCACTGATGGCTGCCGGCTGCATGCTGAGCCCTCTGTTTCCTCACTCCCATCTACCTGCTGGCAGGGTTTACCTGCTGGGCAAGAGGCAGGTGTTGCAGGAGGAGCTGCAGGGGCTGCAGGTGGCGCTGTGCAGCCAGGCCAAGCTGCAGGCCCAGCAGGAGCTGCTGCAGGCCAAGCTGGAGCAGCTGGGCCCCGGTGAGCCCCCGCCTGTGCCGCTCCTGCAGGACGACTGCCACTCCACCTCGTCCTCGGTGAGCGCCCCACCGCCCACTGTGGCCACCCCACCCACCGGCCCAGGCTGCGCTCTTCATTTTCGCCCTCCCCCTCCCCAAGCCTGGCCACTCGCTGACGTCTGTCCCTGGCCCCAGGAGCCGGAGCGGGAAGGGGGAAGGACGCCCACCCTGGAGATTCTTAAGAGCCACATCTCAGGAATCTTTCGCCCCAAGTTCTCGGTGAGTGGAGTCCGGCCAGACCCGCACCTCTGCCCTTCTCCAAGGGGTGTGCCAGGCCAGGGGTCTCAGAGATGTTCCCCCTAAGCCCGTGCCACCGTGTTGTTCAGGTTAGTCATCGGGTGGCCCTAGAGAGGAGGTCCTGCCTATGCTGGTTTTATTGGGGCATCCAAGCACAGATGTCCCCAATCCTGCCACCCCTGCACCCACTTCTTCTTCGCTACCGCATGTGCTGAAGGGACCTGCAGCTTTGACTATCCTATGGCTCTCCCTGCTATGGGAGTGGAAAAGGCAAAAGCTTGGTTTGGGACCAGCCAGCCCGGGCCTCCCATCCCAGCTCTGCTGTCAGCGAGCCCGGGCCAGTCTGTGGCCTGCGGATGGCTCAACCTGCCACTCGGGTGGTTTGGAAGGACTGAAGGGCATATGAAATAGAGACCCTCCTGACGACCTGGCTGAGTGACCCCACCACCCCCCACTCCTTCCCTGTCCCTGCCCAGCTTCCCCCACCACTGCAGCTTGTGCCTGAGGTGCAGAAGCCCCTGCATGAGCAGCTGTGGTACCATGGCGCCATCCCACGGGCAGAGGTGGCTGAGCTTCTGACACAATCTGGGGACTTCCTGGTGCGGGAGAGCCAGGGCAAGCAGGAGTATGTGCTGTCAGTGCTGTGGGATGGCCAGCCCCGGCACTTCATCATCCAGTCTGCTGATGTGAGTGGGGCCTGGACCGGAGCCCACCCTGCCCCACCCCTCCCAGTCAGCAGGGGAACGACCTTGAGAGTGTAGGAAGGAGTTGCCAGTCTTCGATGCTTTCCTGGCAGAGCTGCTAGGAGCCAGAGAGACCATCTAGTCCCTACAATGAAACAGGCCGAAGCCTTCGGCTCGGGTCCTCCCCTAAGGAGGGGTAGCAGGCGTGTCAGGCACCATCAAGTCCTGCCTTTCTGCAGTCTCTACGCCTCTTGTCCCAGGAAGGCCCTTTCTCCCTGCTGTTCTCCCTCTACCCTCCCAGGCCTCAGGCCTCCTCAGCAGTGGAGGCTACTGACCCCAGGTCCCCCTGCCCCACAGAACCTGTACCGACTAGAAGGCGACGGCTTTCCCAGCATCCCCTTGCTCATAGACCACTTGCTGCGCTCCCAGCAGCCCCTCACCAAGAAGAGCGGTATTGTCCTGAACAGAGCCGTGCCCAAGGTGAGCCCATGCCCAGCCAGCCCACACCGCCCATGGCAGGGTTGGCGAGCGTGGGTCGAGGCACGAATCGGGCAAGAGGGGCTTTCCAGGTCTCTAGTCTTTGGTCTTCGTACAGGACACGAAGTGACTCCTCATGCTCCAAGGGCTCAGCCTCTTGCTAGGTGTGGAATGTCAAGGCCACTCCCATTCCACAGGCTGGTGCTCATCCAGCTAGGGCTCCTACCTGGTCTGTGAGGTCATCGAGTGTGATCCTGATACAGTCCAAACCCCATTTTCCAGACTAAGAAACTGAGGTTCCAAGAAATGAAAGACGTAGGCTTTTTGGAGGATGTTTGGTCCTTCAACAGAGCCCAGAATGCCTTCCCTTCACTGACTTCTGACCGCCCAACACTCCCTTCTACAGGACAAGTGGGTGCTGAACCATGAGGACCTGGTGTTGGGCGAGCAGATTGGGCGGGTGAGTTGAGTGCTCTGCCAGCCTCCGGGCTGCCTGCGTTCTCCCTCTCCAGCACGGTTTCCTTCCAGCCCACCACCCATGTCACAAGGAGACCCACTTCAGAGAGTTCTTCTGTCTCCCTGCCTCAGTCTGACTGAGGAAACTGAGGGGAGAGTACCTGCCATCAGCACCCGCCCCCACCTTCCCGCGCTAGGCCCCTGCCTCCCCACGGAGCTCTTGTGTGCAAGGGGGCACAGATTCTGTTCATGTGAGCCATCAAATAACCTGCTTAGGAAAGAAGTCACTTTCCCGAAAATCGGAACGCTTTTCTAACCCAAGGGAAAGTGACTTGTGGATTTTCCACGTCACCTCTTTTCGTGAACATGGAAAGTCAGAGATGATTTTTTTTTCACGTGGACCCGCATCGATCCCCAGCCAGGGGATAAACTAGAGAGCTGGGATGAGCAGGTCTGAGCATGGAGTCACTGAGTGAGGGGCAGGTGGGGACAAGGTGGGATGTCTCCTGAGAGAAGGGGACTGTGGCCCAGGGAAGATGGGTAGAAGCCCAAGATCATTTCAGGGGAACTTTGGTGAAGTATTCAGTGGGCGCCTGCGAGCTGACAACACCCTCGTGGCAGTGAAATCATGTCGAGAGACGCTCCCACCTGACCTCAAGGCCAAATTTCTGCAGGAAGCGAGGTAGGTGATAGAATAACAGTCACCGTGGGCGCACATACGAAGCGTTCCTCGGCACGGCGCGATGTGCTTGGTCTGTGGCATGACGTGACCACCCCCCCACACCAAGGTCAGAGCGGGCAAGGCTCAGACCGTTCGAGGTCTGCTGGCTTCAGAGGCCAAACTCATCTTTTCTGCTGCCTTCTCCCGTCCTCCCTCGGGTTCCCTGGGGATCACTGGGGAGGGGATCTGCAAGCCCACAAGGTGGGAGCCTAAGCAGCAGCGCCTTCCAGGATCCTGAAGCAGTACAGCCACCCCAATATCGTGCGTCTCATTGGCGTCTGCACCCAGAAGCAACCCATCTACATCGTCATGGAGCTCGTGCAGGGTGAGCTGAGAGGGCTGATCTCCAGGAGTGGGGACCCCAGTCCGGCTAGGTCTGCATCCCTGCAGGAGGCTCAATAAGGCTTTCCCCACCTGCCCCCAGGGGGTGACTTCCTGACCTTCCTTCGGACCGAGGGAGCCCGCCTGCGGATGAAGACTCTGCTGCAGATGGTAGGAGACGCAGCAGCCGGCATGGAGTACCTGGAGAGCAAGTGTTGCATCCACCGGTGAGTGAGGGGGCACAGGCCTCATGTAGCCGATGCCAGCCCCCCGATAACTCCCACCCAGGTGCATGCAGGGAGCAGCCCTTCTTCATGGCAGTGTCTAGAGTGCCCAGGTCATGAGGTGACAGGTGCTGCGTGGACTGGTGGCTGAGTGAACCCCTTTCTTGCTTCACCCAGGGACCTGGCTGCTCGGAACTGCCTGGTTACAGAGAAGAATGTCTTGAAGATCAGTGACTTTGGGATGTCCCGGGAGGAAGAGGACGGGATCTACGCCGCCTCAGGGGGCCTCAGACAAGTCCCTGTGAAGTGGACGGCACCTGAGGCTCTTAACTATGGTACCTGGGCCTTGTCCACCCTGGGTGCGGCTCGAGGCTGGGTGTGCCTCGCTCTGGCTGACGGACATGGGTGGCTCGTTCATGCCGCCTTGCCTCCTTGCAGGCCGCTATTCCTCCGAGAGCGACGTGTGGAGCTTTGGCATCTTACTCTGGGAGACCTTCAGCCTGGGGGCCTCCCCCTACCCCAACCTCAGCAATCAGCAGACCCGGGACTTCATAGAAAAGGGTAAGGGAACGCTACTGAGTGACAGCAGCCTGAGAGCCAGGCACTCATCCCGGTGCTGCAGCTGGCTTCTTCCCAGTCCCCTGACCTTCCCACTGGGGCAGAATAAGAATGATCCTGTAGCTGCCACTGAGTGAGTCCCTGATGTGTGCCAGGCCATACATTACTTCATTTACTCTTCACAACAGGTGAGGTAGGGATTAATATGTCCCTTTTACAGGAGAAAAAAACTGAGGCTTACAGAGGTTATACAACTTGCACACGGTGGGATTGTGATTAGGACCTCTGCGTCCTTGGGGCTCTCAGTGGGGAGGAGCAGCTCTTTAGGAACAATGTGGCTTAAGCAGCTCCCATTACTCACGGATGTCCCCCGAGGCTGCCAGGGGCCCTCAGATGCCCTCCTCACGCAGGGGGTGTCGTGCCTGTCCTCATAGGGGGCCGCCTGCCCTGCCCCGAGCTGTGTCCCGATGCTGTGTTCAGGCTCATGGAACAGTGCTGGGCCTACGAGCCCAGGCAGCGGCCCAGCTTCAGCACCATCTACCAGGAGCTACAGAGCATCCGAAAGCGACATCGGTGAGGCTGGGCCCTCTTCTCAAGCCAGTGGCCTCTGTCGGCAAGACTGTACCTCCTCCCCACTTCCAGCTCACACCATGGGATGACTCTTCACGGTCCTGGACTCTGGCCACTGGCATATGTGCTGCGGGTGGGGATGCAGCTCCATGTCTGCTGTGCATCCCTGTTCCTGCCAGGCCTCCTCTTCCAGGCAGAAGTAATAAAACCACTTGTGCCTGTCAAGTGCTCTTTGGCATGTGCGCCCCGCTGGAGGGCAGGTCTTAGGAGGAATGGAGGGCCTGTACTGCGGCCATGGGGAAGGAGGATGGCCAGTGTTCAGGGGGCAGAACTGACACGGTTTGGTAGCTGTTGGATGTGAGAGGCGAGGAAGAGGGAGAGATCAGGATGATATACAGGCTTCTGACCAGATGGTGGTGTCATTCCTGAAACAGGATCTCAAGCAGAGGAGCAGAGCTGCAGGAGGATGGTGAATTTGGAGATGTTGTGTTTGAGGGGCCTCTGGGGATGTTAGGTGTGACATATAGATCTGGAAGCCCAGCCAGAAGTAAAGGCTGGCACTGGAGGCCTAAACGTCATTAACTGACAAATGTTGGAGAACAGCTGACCCTAAGGATGTATACAACCATCGCGTGAGATTCAGTAGAGAGGAGAGAGTCGGGCAAAGTTAGAGCCCCACTCAAAGGAGACTGGTGTGGCTGAAGAGAAAAATTGCTTCTTAGAGAGTTTATCTCTCAGGCGAGCTTCCTGAGCAATGGGGTAGCAGAGCAGGGAGCTCTCACCTCCTCTCCTAAGTCCCCCAGAAATCTATAAAATTATCTGAAACTTTCCTAGCAGCAACAGGGAAGGTTGAGAAGATAAGAAGGATGAACAAATTGAAAAGCAGAAACAGGAAAGATATGTAGCACCAAAGAACAAAGCAGTAAGAACTTTGAGGCAAAATGGCCACCCTTCAAGAAAGTTTAGGAAGCGGATGACATCTGTTTCCAAAGAGATAAAAGCCCTATAACTTCTTTACACATGAGGAAACCAGTTAGAGTATGAGCAAATGAAAGTATTAAGTCAAATTACATCTCAATTGGAAGTGGTAGAAAGCAGAACTGACAAACTTCTGCTTCTGGGGAGGATGTGGTAGGTCCGAGCAGGCCACCACTCCCATCAAAACAATCAGCAGGGGACAAATAAGATGAAAATCATTATTTTTAAAGAGAATGGAGAGTGGTGGAATACGAACCAGATGAACTAAGATTTCAAGAAGGAAAGGGTCCCTCCCAGGTGAACTAATGATGAGTGGCTATTCCCTGAAACATCTGCTGATTTTGGACATCTCTAATGATCAAAGTTGCCCCAAACAGAGAGACTCTACTAAGAAAAAGAGAAATGAGCCAGTAGTTTTTGGTGCTTACAGGGACTATGCTATGGATTGGACTCACGAGGAGCCCAAAATGCAAAGCTAGTTCTCCCCATGGAACATTTGCTGAGTTCTGGAACCGTGTGAGCAACTGGGAAGGCATGTCCAACAGTCTCGTGGTGTTTAGAGGGAGGGGGCCTGAAACAAATAAGTGGTTCGCCTCTCAAGATATCCAGATCTCGAACCTGTGTGGATTGGGAGGCTAAAAAGCTAACTCCAAAATCTCTGAAGAGCAGAACTTGAAGGACTCAGAGAGACAGACTGGCCAGGCTTTCAACCCCAAATCCAAGAGGGCCACTCCTAAAGGACAGAGACAATGTAGAGGAGGGCTGAGTTTTACCAGAACTATAACTCTGCCCCAACTTGGCACCTGAATTCCTCGAGGTGACTAGCTTCTTCAGAGTGGGGAATTGAGGAGAGGAAGAACATAGTTTGCATGAAGTACCTACTTTTTATACCCAATATGCAACATGCAGACAAAAATTATTAAATACGCAAAAGAAAAATGGGGTCAGTGCACAAGAGAAAGACAACAGAAGTAAACCCACAGATGATCCAAATATTATAGTTGGCAGATAAGGATTTTGAAATAACTATGATTAACATGTTAAATGGAGAAAAAAGATGGACAAAATAGATGCAAATATGGAGAAGTTCAACAGAGTTGGAATCTACTTAAAAAGAATCAAAGGAGAAAGTAGAACTGAAAAATACCATCTCCGAAGTTACAAACTCATTGGCTACCTTTCATAAAAATTCATAGAACGAAAGGATAAAGTCACAATCATAGAGACTGAATACATCAGGAGAAAGAATTAGTGAACTTGAAGATAGATTGCTAGAAGGTATCTAAACTGAAATAAAGAGAGAAAAAAAGAATGAAAAAAAAAAAAAAAGCCTAAGAAACACGTGGGATTCCAGTACATGAGTAATTAAAGTTCCAGAAGGAGAGAGAAAAGTTAAGACCAGAATACCTGAAAATGACCCAAGCGTCTTTACAACGATAAAAAAGACCACTGATACATGCACAAACATTGATGAATCGAATCTCAAAAACACATTGAGTAAAGAAGCCAGTCACGAAGGGGTGTATACTTTTGATTCCATTTTATGAAGTTCAAGAATAGGCAAAATTAAACTATAGAGAAGTCAAAATAGTGGTTCTGTCTGAGGGGTACTGGTGGGCAGGGGCATGAGAGTAGGGGAATAGCTCTGCCATGGTGTCTTTACAACCTCGCATGTCTACATGGGCCGTGTGGGCAAGGCTTGAGCAGTCTAGCTTGAGCCTTGACAATGCACTATAATTACTCGTGCAGTAAGGGAGACATAAGCAGCCTAGAGAGGAGCCTTGTTGGGAGACTGCCACAAGGCCCTTTCTCATCCCTCTTCCTAGTTTCACTTGAGTCCAGGGCTTTCCATCTGGCCCATCCCCTCATAGAGAGAAGCCATGCCATACTTCTTAGCTGTAGTTTGGAGTTGGCTCCTTAGCCACAGGGTGACCTTCCACCATACCTCCTATCCTCCTGTCATCTGGTCCCTTCGGTTCATTGTCATCCTGTGGGACTGAGGAAACGAGCCGACTCCATGCTGGTCTTGGTTTTGCTGAGTGATAAGACATCTGGATCCATGGTGACTTGCTCTCTCCTTACTACCGGCTGAGTCTATGGAAGTGTGGCAGGCCCACCTAACAGCTGCACCGTGATCCTTGTGGCTCTGTTAGCCACCACCATGCACTTAGGGACACGGAGCAAAACACACAGAGACAAAGAGGGTGATGAACCCAGCCTGGGTCTACGACCTTAGTAACAGACATTTCAGTTAGTAAATAAACCTAGAAAAATGTTCCTGACGGCGATCCAAGAAATGGGAATTAAAATAATGACATGGCATTTAAAATACGGTTAATCAAACAACAAAAAAATCGTCTTAAGCATTCAGTGGTTTGTAATCGACAGTGGAAACGCACAGTCGGAGAGCGGTGGAATGCCAAGTATCAGTCATATCAGTCCTTATCTTTTGCCCAGGTAACCTCACTGCTGCGAATTTGTCCTGAAGTAATAATTTTAAAAGAAGATTCATGTGGAATTGACGGAGATGTTCACTGCAGTGTGGTTTATTATGCTGCAAAATTACAAACCACCCAGACGCCCAGTGAAAGAACAACCAAGACAGTTATGGGCTGTCTCGTTCGCTGGGTGGCAAGCAGGAAAGGGATGGCGATTAATGCGCCGCACGGACAGGAGGCGGCACCCCTTTTCCTGAGAATGTGGCTGCATCAAATTAAGGATACCTAAAGCAGAACGGGGCGGGCCGAGAAACTGCGCCCCACTGCGCAGCTGGTGCAGCAGGGGAGGAATGTTCCCGCTACTGTTTGGTACCGTGCTCACTCTAGTAAGATTCAGACCAAATAAAGTCTCGCGCCCCTGCTCGCGGGTTCGCAGCGCGCCTAGGCCGGGCCGGAACTGCGGCTGCGCACGGCGGCCTGGGTCCAACGGCGCGGAG